GCCTCCCTATAGACTGGTCATCTCTTAAACTGTACATGCACAGAATGCAACCCCTGGAAACCCAGTAGAAAGTAGAGTTGGGAGAATAAAGAAATAAGTCAAGATTTTAGCAGTATTGTGATACTAAAGAGACAGATCAGAGTTGAACCTTGTTGAGGAGAGAGATTCTTGACAAATTCCTACCTCGCTTTTGCTGACCACCAGAAGGGCCACTTCTGATAATAACTACTAGTCGCTGGAAATAAGGATAAAACTGAAATATACCTTCCCTTTAAACACCTAAAATGAAGTCTTAAAAGGAATAAGGCAAAGCAGGGTGGTTGAAGCCTGTAATCCCATCACTTTGGTAGGCCGAGGCAGAAGGATTGCTTGACCCCTGCAGCAACATAGTGAGACTGTGTCTATACAGAAAAAAATTAAACAATTAGCCAGGTGTGGTAGTGCATGCCTATAGTCCCAGCTACTCAGGAGGCAGAGGATGGAGGATAGTTTGAGCCCAGGAGTTTGAATTTGCAGTGAGCTGTAATTGTGCCACTGCCTGCAGCCTAGTGGACAGTGAGGTCCCACCTCAAAAAAAAAAAAAAAAAGGAATGAGGTATCTGCTGTTTTTCCCTGCCAAATTAACCTAATCCTCTTGGAGGTGGAGGAAGATAACTAATCATCCAAACTTCTCTAATTTTTTTCGTTTATGTTAACTGGTGTTAAATCAGAAAATAAAAGGGATGCAGGAAAAATAGGACCAAAAGACAGAATAACAAGAGAAAAAAGAAGTGGATCCCACAGGAGATCAGCTATTGGCTTTATCAAAGGACTTTAAAATTGGGATGAAAAGATGAAAAATTTCAACAGAGAATTTAACCTATTAAAAAGAATCTTTAAAATGTAAAAGAACAGATTCTAATAGCCACTTTAGATCTAAAAAATAACATCAGACTCGGTACAAGAAGACAGAATTAGAAAACTAGAAGGAAAAATGTTCAAATTTGTCACTAGATTCGCTTCCCAAAACATCAGCATCCTTATTATTATTACTTTATTTTGTTTTTTTGAGTCAAGGTCTTATTGTTGCCCAAGTTGAAGTGCAGTGGCACAATCAGTGTCCACTGCAATCTCGGCCTCCTGGACTCATGTGATCCTTCTACCGCAATCTCCTTGGCTCAGGCCATCCTTCCCTCTACTTCAGCTTCTGGAGTAGCAGGGACCACAATTGTGCACCACATGCCCATCAAATTAAAAAAAAATTTTTTTGTAGAGATGACATCTCACTGTGTTGTCCAAGCTGGTCTAGAACTCCTGGGCTCAAGCAATCCTCCTGCCTCCCAAAGTGTTGGGATTATAGATGCAGGCCACCATGCTCAGTCCAGGATTATTCTTAGTCCTACCTATACTCGTGCAAGTTTCCACTTTCTTCCCCTATCTTCACTCAAAGATTCTCTTTTTCTTTTTAAAAACTATTTAATTGACAAGTACAAATAATATTTACATATTTTTGGTATATAGCATGTTGTTTTGAAATATGCAAACATTGTAGAATGGCTAAATTGAGCTAATTAACATATGCATTAGCTCACATGCTTTTTTGTGATAAGAACACTTAAAATCTACTCTTTTGTCAATTTTCAGTGTAGCACATTCTTATGAACTATAGTCGCCATGATGTACAAGAGATCTCTTGACGTTATTCCTCCTATCTAACTGAAATATTATTGTCTTTTCTTCTGTGTGTTATTTCAAGTCCTATTTCCACACATCCCTCTTGAAGACATACATTCCTGATCTCAACAGACAGTATCAGGAAATTTTGATAAGTGACAGTCTTTGGGAGAGAGATGACTGACAGGTCAATACAGAACACTGCCATTAACACGAGAAGTTCACAAAAATCTAGGTAAACAGGTGACTGACCCCAAGTAAATTTAGCAACAAATAGGTAAGGTCCTAGTTGAAGAATCTGGGTCCCAGAGAGAGAATTCTACTTTCAGAAAATTAGAGAAGAAAGATCCATATTTCCAGAGAAATTGAAATTAAGAAAAAGGATTATGAAACCATGGCAGGAAAAAAACCAGGGACCACAACTATGCCACACACAAAATATGACCCACACACAAAATGTAGGGCCATGCTTCAGTTCCTGGAAGTGTGTTTACGGTCCAAAGTTGTTGGTGGTGAGGAAGCAGCAACACTAATAAACTCAAGCCAGGAAAAGATGTGTAATTGTGTTACCTTGAAGCCAGATTGGTCCCAGAGTCCAGTGATGTTTAGGTGGTTTCAGGTATGAAAATTGGAAAGCTTTGACAGCAGGGAAGCATACCAATTATTCTACCATACATTGGTGTGTTATTGCTCTGGCTCATGTTTACAAAACCAAGTTATAGAATAGTTTGTTATTTTCTCCTGGGGCTATATCTGCTACCATCAGGTAAATTTTACATTTGGCTTTATAGGCCTAAAGATTGGGTTGTATGCTATTCCTTTAAAAGATATAAAGAATATTATGGTGTTAAATAATTGAACTTTACAATAAAATATGTGGGCTGTGTGTGTGTCTACCTCTAACCCACTTGTTACCAAGCCCTGCCTAACTTGACTTCAGTTTTATTTTTTCATTTTTTATTGTTTGAGTAGGAGTCTCACTCTGTCCCCAGGGTGGAATGCAGTGGCACACTCATGGCCACCGCAGCCTCAACCTGATGGGCTCAGATGATCCTTCCACCTCAGCCTTCCAGGTAGCTGGAACCACAGGTGTGCGCCACCCCATCTGGCTAGTTTTTGTAGAGACAAGGTCTCACCAAGTTGCCCAGGCTGGTCTTGAATCCCTGGACTCAGGCAATCCTCTTGCCTCTGCTTCCCAAAGTGCTAGGATTCCAGGTGTGAGCTACCATGCCTGGCTCAATTTTGTTCTTAAAAGAGTAGGTAGAAAATCATTTTTATCTTCAAATACTTGATACAACATGAATAAATCTAAAACACATTTTGCTAAGCAAAAGAAGCCAGATTCAAAAGCCACATACTATGTGATTCCATATAGATGTCATTCTGTAGAAGGCAAAACGATCTTGATTTAATTTTAAAGCTTTTAGACTACATGCTATATGGCTCAAAACTTTAAATGGCAACTAATATTATTGATCTCTTCAACTGAAAGCTTGAATAGTACCTTACTCTCCCTTTTTAAAACTGCAGACAGCTTTTCTGTGCCTGGGTCTGAATTGTCCTAGGACATGAGTCATTCATTCACTCATGCATTCAAATAATGTTTGAGGGCACTTAATATATTTTAAGTAATAGACATAAATCACTTCCTAAATTCCATGTACTATGCTTACCTTTGGCAGATATTTTTCCAGGCAAAATAACACTTTTCTAAGCAAATCATGTTAGTTTATTTTTTAAAATTTCTGTTTGGTATAAATGTAACTTTGCTTGAATTATTGTCTTTTTTTTCTGACTGTTTATAGACATTTTACTTAGGGAGAGCACAATAGTATCTGTCTGAATAAGAACAAAGTAATTTCCCTCAGAGCTCTTGCCAAATACATTAGGGACACATACTCCATCATTGCCCAGTACACACTTCAGTGCTCACTCCTGAAACTCATTCAGATAGCATGTGCATCTAAATAGGCAGAACAGTTCTGAATTCAGTTTTTTGCTTCATTAATGTAAAATAAAGATTAAAAAAAAATGCAACCCAGAAGCCATTGGCTAAATCTTATGAATTGATCACAATATTATCACAATACTCACATTTTCTTTACCTATATATTTGATTTATTCTAAGATGGCTTTTTTGTTGTTAATAGCAGTAGTTAAAAGAAAAATGCACAAAACAAGGTTTTCTAAATGCACACTTGCTAAAAGTCCAAAACTTCCTTTTTTCTTTTCTTCTGTAATTTCTCTCAGCATTTAAAATTCATTTTTAACTCATTGTTTTAGGTTTCTGTGTCTTTTTTCTCTTTGAATAGAAAGTCTTTTAGTCTTTCTCTTTTCTGTTGTTCACTATAGTAACTACTTTAAAAAAAAAAACAAGGATTGTTGAGATAAAATTCACACTCCTAGGTAAATTCACCCCTTTTTAGTGTAAAATTCTATGAGTTTTGACATATGCATATAATCATGTAACTGACACTAACATCAAGACATAGACCAGCTCCATCTTCAAAAGTTCCCTCATGTTACTCCCCTTCCCCATCTCCAGCCGCTGGCTACCACTGATCTGCTATCAGTCCCTATTGTTTTGCCTATTCCAGAATGATATATATATAGCATGTAGCTTCTGAATCTGGCTTCTTTCTCTTAGAAAAATGCATTTTAGATTTACTCGTATTGTATTGAGCATGAGCTTGCTCCTTTTCTATTGCTAAATAGTATTCCGTTGTATGGCTGTATCATAGTTCCATTTTCCCTGCACCAGTTAAAGCACATTGTAGTTGTCTCCAGCTTCTGGCTATTATGAACACAACCAAACAATCAAGTGGGAAGGCACCAGAAACCTGGGATCTCATACTAGTTCTATATCAGTTACCTGTGATTTAAATAATCTAACCTCTCTGGGTCTCCTCCTTCTTTTGTAACATGTACATCATTTAGGGTTTATTCTGACTTTAAAATAACATGGTTTTGTGATATATAGGGAAAGCATTTACTATTGTATTGTCTAAGAGGAGAAACTATAAATAGTTAAGCATATTTTATAAAACTAAATTTTATGAAATCAATGTAACTAATATTTAAGAAATCAGTTAACTAATATTTAACCTTAAGAGTAATTTTATCTCTTTAAGTTCCATCACAAATTGGTCTGAGCATAATATAATTTGCTTAATGAATTTTATAGGTCCTTGTAATCTTGAATTTTTTTATTGACTGTGCAATCCAACTGATTTTACATTGAAAATTATTTTTATAATAATACTTTTAAATAAAACCTCAATAAATATTTTCTTTCAAAACATTTTAAACTTTATTATTAATATGTATTTATTTATGTTTTAATTTAGATGGGTCTAGGAAAGACAATCCAGGCAATTGCAATTGCTTACTTCTATAAAGAGGAATGGCCTCTTTTGATAGTGGTCCCTTCATCTCTGAGATATCCTTGGACAGAAGAAATAGAGAAATGGATCCCAGAGCTAGGTCCTGAAGAAATCAATGTTATTCAGAATAAAACTGATGTTAGGTAAGAACAACTTTTTCATCTTTAAGAACAAAAAGTATTCCTCATGTGTATTTAGTATATACTCATGTTAAGAATGAAATATCACCTATAGATAATTTAGAAGTAAGTGTGTAATGTGGAGAATTTTATTTTACATTTTAAAATATTTATTATTTACCTAAAACCCAACAGTATATTTAATTTCTAATTTATTTTATGATATATATTTAAAGTACAAAGAAGAACCCCAAAAAACTCGGAATTATTTTTTGGAGGAAGGGCCTATTGTGTAAGCGTTCTAGGAACCCATAAGCATCAGTGTACCAGCTAGCATTGTTGTGAGAGACTTCATTCAGCTTCAGTGAGTTTGTTTTTGGAGAGTCTCTCAGGGTGTTTGCCCATTTCATGATGGGTGATTTATATACCTGCCCATGCAGCACTGTGAGTTCAACAGTTTTTGACCAAAACCGGCATGACCCCTGTGTCCCTCCCTCCTTTTCACCTGATCTCGCCCAAGCGATTCCCCCCTCCCCAATGAAAAAGGCCTCAAAGGGACTTTTTGTCAGTGTGGAAGGGGTGAAATAAAAAAAGCGACAGAAGCACTAAATTTAAGGCATCAAAATTGACGAGTTAAAAAACTGTTTTGAGCAGTGGAAAAAGCATCTTGACAGGTGTATTGCATCAGACAGAGAGTATGTCGAAGGTAACTGAAGTTTAAACATAAGAATGAATACACAATTTGTTCAAGTAAATTCTGGGGTTTTTGGAAATGTGAAATATGTATACCTTTGAAGATATATACATCTACTTTATACGTACCTTAAATATACTTTAAGTTAATTATTTTAGAGCTCAAAAATAGATCTCACAACTTTTCAGTAATTAACTTGAAGCTTTATGATCAAGCAACTATGGTAGATTTTGCTTTCCAAGTGGTTAGTTAATAAGCAAGTTTTATGTATAACTAATATTAGCAAGTTTATTTTCTTTATTAAGTTAATTTATAATTTTTCTATTTTATATCTTGAACATATTTACTTTGTTATTATTTGAAGTCCTCAAAAAGTTTATTATAGTGTTGCTAGTAATTTTTATTTTATTTTGCTTTCTAGCCATTGGTATAAGACAACCAATTTGAATACTGATAAGCTATTACACTGAATATCTTGGTAATCATTCAAAGTATCATGTTTCCAGAAACTCAAAATTATCTATTTCTCAGCCTTAAATAAAAAGCAACACATCTACCTGAAATATCTATCTTTTAATACTTAGAATTTTGATTGTGATATTATTGTACTGTATTGTATTCTCTAAGATTGTTAACATAAAAAAAACTTTAGTAGAAATATAGTTGGCCTTCTGAATGTGGAAGGGGCTATTCAATGCACATTGAATTCAGGGCACTGAAATAGACAAAATAGATGGAGGGCCTTTTCTCTTTCAACTTTGGAGCCCTAATTAATGGATTATACTTTTATGGGCCCAAGAAAATGTGGGCACTATTTACATAGCAAAAATAAAATGTAGAAAATCATTATGAATAACTCTTCTCTCCAAAAAAACTGCATAAAATTGAAAACACTTAAGAATTTAGAGAACATAGACTTTATTAAGGCCTCTATACCTATCTTCTGTTGGCTATACTTTATTTAAATATTTACATTTAAATTTTCTTAAAATATGTCTCTTCTATTAGCTTTCATAGCGTTTAGGTCATCTAGTTTTCATTACTTGGGAAGTACACTCTTGCAGTTAAATAGTGGCTAATATTTTTATCTGAATAACATTTGAGATATTTTAGATAGAATTGTATCAAAGTGTATGTTTTCCAGTGTCTTCCAGGTACCTAGAGAAACAGGTTGAGGTATATGCCATCATATGTTTACCACAAATACATATTCTCCCTGGCACATACCAGTTATTCCTGGACCATTTACTAATCAAGATATAGCAGTCTTGATGCAGTGTCCTTTGAAGCCCTTTTCTTCTATTTGTTGCTCTTAGTATACCTAAGTTAGTAATATTAACTCTACTTTTCTTTTGTAGGCTCTTCTGGTGGTAAAGTACAGTGAGAAAATCATAGATCTCTGTATTAAGTAGATTTATACAGGGCTTAAAATGCAGTTGCCACTTAAAAAAAAAATAAAAGCAGTTGCCATGGTGGTACTGGCTATTTAGAATCTCAGCCTTTTCTGTTAGGGAATAGAGAATTGCAGAAGACTGACTCTGCCCTGTATTTTTCCCCGGGGACAGAAAGTACAAAAGTGATATGTTTTAGTGTTAATGAGTTTATTTATCTAATTATTTAATTCTATAAGCTTTCATTGAGATCATAGCCTTATATATACTAAGATGAATAAGACACATTCCCTGCCCTAACCAGTCTCATTATATAGTAAGGGAAATAAACATGTAAATGAATAACATAAAGAATATTACAGCTGTACTCAGTGATTCTCTCTCTCTCTCTGGGTTTTTTGTTTTTGTTTCTTTTTTTTTGAGTTGGATTCTCAGGCTGGAGTGCCGTGGCACACTCACGGTCACCCCAGTGTCGACCTGCTGGGCTCCGGCAATCCTTTCACCTCAGCTTTCCACATAGTCGGAACTCGAGGTGCACGCTACTACGCCTGGCTAATTTTTTATTTTTTTAGGTATATGCCATCATATGTTTACCACAAATACATCATAGAGATGAGGTCTCTCCACTTTGCCCAGGTGGGTCTCGAACCCGCGGGCTCAAGCAATCCACTCACCTTGGCCTCCCAAATGCTGGGATTACAAGAGGAGCCACCAAGCCCAGCCAGCTAAGTGATTCTCTACGTAAGGTGGTATCTTTCTTCTCTTCTGACCACACTCCATGGCCTCAGGCCTACGGGCTTTTTTGTTGGCACTGACTGAAAAACTCCACTGACCTTTCACGGGTGGAACCAGGAAGCAAAATGCCCTGCGGTGCATTGAAGAGCCCTGTTACACTATGTGTTATCCTGCTCAAAATACCAATATCACCCAGGTTGAAAAACTGCTATCCAGCCAGACTCGGTGGCCCAGCCTATAATCCCGCGCCTTAGGAGGCTGAGGTGAGTAAATTGCCTGAGTCTGCGGTTTCGAGACCCGCCTGGGCAACTTGGCGAGACCTCATCTCCACAATAAATCAAAAAATCAGCCGGGCGTGATAGCGCACGCCTGTAGTTCCGGCTACTTGGAAGGCTGAGGCAGAAGGATCGCCGGAGCCCAGCAGGTCGAGGCTGCGGTGGCCGGGAGCGGCCACTGCACTCCAGTCTGGGCGACAAAGTGAGACTCCAACTCAAAAAAAAGAAAAACTGCTATCCTATTTGTGTGACAGTTTCTTCAAAGAGTCAAGTAATATTTAAGTATCCACTTTATGCATGATCCATAGAAGCAAATATTGTCAAAAAGTAATGTTCTTATCCTAATAAAATGTGGCTTGCTGGATGTCAAAATATTTCAAAGATCATTTGACCAAAATTTTGGTTTTTGTCAGCCAAAATTTTTCATTTTGGATCCTGGGTTAATATGTTTTAGAACAATAAAACCTTAAGAGAAATTGAGTGTTAGTGGTAGTACCATCTCCTTTTATTTTTACCATTTTCTTCTTTCTTCTCCTCTGCATTTTTCCCAAAAGTGTTATATTGTTTATGATAAATTGTTACTGAGATATTTTTAAAGAACATAGATTTTTTTTTTTCCCTAGGAGAATATCGACCAGCAAAGTGACAGTTTTGGGTTATGGTCTTTTAACCACAGATGCAGAGACTTTGATAGATGCACTGAATAATCAGAACTTCAAAGTAGTTATAGTAGATGAATCACACTACATGAAGTCCAGAAATGCAACTCGCAGCAAGATTTTATTGCCAGTAGTACAGAAAGCCAGACGAGCCATTCTTCTTACAGGAACTCCAGCTTTAGGAAGGCCTGAAGAGGTATTAAAACCCTTATACTTGGGGTTTAAAATGGAAAGTTGAATCAATCACCTGTTTTGTAATTTTTAATTTCAAATTAGATGACTCAAATGCTGGAAGAGTATATTGGGAATTTATAGACAGCTACTAATGATTAAATATGTGTTCATTATTAGTTTTACTCTATTTATATGTAAAATATAGCCAAGCTTACAGGTATATATAAAAAATAGCTTTTACCTTTATTATAAGGCTTCCATATTTTGTACAAATTTGTAATATTCTTCACATGTGTTTTTGAGGATCATATAGTCTTAATATTCATTTATTCTATTCTACATTATAGCCTCCTTAGGATTGGGGTTGAATCTACTTTATTTCTTTTATATTGCATTGCACAATTTGTCTGTTCTTTCACTTCAAGATCCCCATTTAGGAATATAGAGGGAAGTTCAAGCTTATGTGCAAACCAGATAAGGTATCTACTTAGAAAGGAGTAATAAGGCATTTGTTTCCCATTATCTTTTGCCACTCTAAGAGGTGGGTAAAATATGGAATGATTAAAGGATTGGGAAGAAGAAATGGTTGGTGAAACTCTTATGAGACTATAAGTTCAGTGTTTCCTAAGGAAGCCCTATTAACTAGTGAGCACTGAATTATGGAAAAAAACATGTGCTTGCTGTCTTATAGGGTTGCTGGAAGATTTAAAGGAAATATTGCTTTGAAAGTAGCTTTATGCCTTGGCACGTAGTAAGCACTCAACATATGATAGCCATGATTATATTAATTATTAAGACAAGCCTTGTCAACAGCTATTATCATTGCATCTCTAACAGTATTACCTAGCCTCTATTTTAAAATTCTATCCTGGAAGCCTTTTGAGATACACTTAACAGTACATAGATAGTGATGACAAAATGCTTAATTTTACCTCTTTTTTTTAATTTTTGGATACAGAGTCTTGCTCTATTGCCTGGGCTAGGTACAGTGGCACGATCATTGACCTCCTGGACTCAAGCAATCCTCCTGCCTCAGCCTCCTGAGTGGCTGGGACTACAAGAGTGTGCCACCATGTCCAGCTACTTTTAAAAAATTTTTTATAGAGATTGGGTCTCACTATATTGCTCAGGCTGGTCTCTGTCTTCCCATCTCAGTCTCCCAAAGTGCTGGGTAATTTTACCTTTTATATTTTTTTACTGTTGGATACCCACTGGCAATGGGAAAGTAGACCCAAGTAATTAACTTTTGTTTCAAAATTATGTCATTGAATAATAGGAGTGATTGTGGTTTTAAAAAAATCATGAAACATACATTCAAGAAAGAGAGTTTGTAAAAGACACATATATTTTAAATGAAAATTTGAATATGCATCACTTATTATCTAATATAAGAAATAGAACATTAATAATACAACAGTGGCCCTTGTGTCCCACAGTGATCACATGTCAGTACTTTTCTCCCTTCACTTAGGGTAGACACTTTTCAAAGCAAGGGTAAATCCCAGTTTTGTGTGTCCTCAGGATTGTATGATTTGTACTTGGTACTCTTTAAGAAAAAGAATATAACATTTAAAATGCTAAGTTATGAGTTTGAAATTGGGAAGTGTGAGTTCTCTAATTTTGTTTTGTCTTTTCAAGATTTTTTTTTTTAATTGGAGTCTCACTCTGTTGCCCAACCTGGGTAGTGGCACACTCATGACCACCCCAACATCGACCTGCTGGACTCCGGCCATCCTTCTGCCTCAGCCTTCCAAGTAACTGGAACTACAGACATATGCTACCACGCCCAGCTATTTTTTTTTTTAATTGTAGAGATGAGGTCTCACCAAGTTACCTGGGCTGGTCTTGAACCCATGGGTTCAGGGAATCCACTTGCCTTGGCCTCCCAAAGGACTGGGATTACAGGTTGAGCCACTGAGCCCAACCTCAAGATTATTTTAAATATTATGAATTTAGGAACCTTGAATTTTTGTATGAATTTTTTCTATCAACTTGTCAGATTTTACAAAGAATCCAACTTGAATTTTTGTTTTGTTTTTTCTAATTGGAGTCTCACTCTGTTGCCCAGGCTGGAGTGCAGTGGCATGCTCACAGCCACCCCAGCATCGACCTGCTGGGCTATGAGTATCCTTCCGGCTCAACCTCACAAGTAGCTGGAACTACAGGCACACACTACCGCACCTGGCTAATTTTTTATTTATTGTAGAGACCAGAGCTCACCATGTTACCCAGGCTGGTCTCGAACCTGTGGGCTCAGGCAACCTTCTCAACTTGGCCTTCAGCTTGAATTTTATAGGTATTGTGTTAAATCTATAAATTACTTTGGGAAGTATTGCTATTTTAACAGTATTAAGTCTTCTAACCCATAAACATGAGCTATATTTTCATTTATTTGGGGGTCTTTAATTTTTTTCCAACAGTACTTTGTAGTTTTCACAGTATGTGTTGCACTTTTTGTGTTAAATTCATTCCTCAGTATTTTATTTATATTTTGATGCTATTGTAAATTAATTTTTCTTACAATTTCACTTTAGATTGCTCATTGCTAAGCATAGAAATCCAATTGATTTTTGTGCATTTATCATGTATCTGGCAAACCTGCTGAACTCATTTATTAGTTTTAATATTATATTAGTGAACTCCTCGGGTTTTTCTATATACAAGATCATATCACCTGCAAATACATACAGTTTTACTTCTTCCTTTCTAATTTCAGTGACATTTATTTTCTTACCTAATTGCTCTGGCTATAACCTCCAGTACAGTGTTGAATGGAAGTAGCAAGAGTGGGCAACCTTATTTTGTTCCTCTTCTTAGGGAGAAAACATTCAGCCTTTCACCTTTAAATGTGATGCTAGCTTGTGGGTTTTTCCTAGATTTCCTTTATTAGGTTGAGGAAGGTCCTTTTTATGCTTTGTTTTTTGGGTGCTTGGTCATGAAGAAATGTCAAATGTTTTTTCTACATCTATTGAAATGTTTTTTGTTCTTTATTCTACTGATATAGTGTGTTACATTAATTGATCTTGGGATGTTAAAACAGCCTTGAGTTTCTAGGATAAATTTCACTTGGTCATGGCTTATAATCTGTTTTATATATTGCTGGATTTGGTTTGCTAATTTAATGTTGTATTGGTTATTATGTCTATATTTGTAAGAGATATTTGTCTGTAGTTTTCTTGTGATGTATTTGTCTGGTTTTGGTATCAAGGTAATACTGCCCTCATATAATGAATTGGGAAGTATTCACTTCTCTTATGCTTTTGGAAGGGTTTATGAAACATTAATATTACTTTTAAAAAATGTTTGATAGAATTCAGTGGTGAAACTATGTCGACCTGGGCTTTTCTTTGTGGGAAGTTTTGGGATTACAGTAGTCGTTCCACTTATCCACGGTTTTCTTTCTGTGCATCCACTTTCTGCAGTTGCAGTTACCCTGATCAACTGCGGTTCAAAATTAGCTTAGTACTATGTAGTAAAGTAAGATATTTTTCAAGAAAGAGAAAGTGTGCAAGGGAGCACATTCACATAATTTTTATTACAGTGTATTGTTATAATTTTTCCATTTTATTACTAGTTGCTAGTCTCTTACCATGCCTAATTTATAAGTTAAACTTTATCATAAGTATGTAGGTATAGTATAGGAAAAAACATAGTATATTTAGGATTCAGTACTATCTGTGGTTTCAGGCATTCACTGAGGGTCTTGGAACATATCTCCCATGGATGAGGGGGTACTGTTCTACTAATTCAGTTTCTTCATGGAGTGTATGTCCATTCAGATTGTTTTTCTTCTTTAGTCAGTTTTAGTATTTTGTGTCTTTCTAGGAATTTCACCATTTCATCTAAGTTATCTAATTTTTTGGCAAAAATTGTTTATAGTATTCCCTTGTAATCTTTTGCATTTCTGTGAGGTTGGTAGTAATAACCCCACTTTCATTCCTGATTTTAGTAATTTGAGTCTTCTCTCTTTTTTTCCTTGGTCAATCTAGCTGAAGTCTTATCAGTAATATTGAGCTTTCCAAGAACCAACCTTTGGTTTCATTGATTTTTCTCTGTTCTTTTTCTATTTTCTATTTCATTTAATTCTGTTCTAATCTTTATTGTTTTCTTCCTTCTTTTTGCTGGAGTTTGGTTTGCTCTTCCTTTCCTACTATCATAAGTTGAAAAGTTAGGTGGTTGATTTGAGTTCTTTCTTTTTTAACATAGGCATATGTAGTATTTATTTTTTCTAAGCACTATTTTTGCTTCAACTCATATTACGATATGTTGTGTCCTCAGTTTCATTTATTTCGACATCATTTATATTTTCTAATTTCCCTTGGAATTTACTCTTTGACCCATTGGTTATTTAAGAGTATGTTGTCATATAAAAAGAACGTAAAGCACTAGCTGGGTGCAGAGGCTCAAGCTTTTAATCCCAGCCCTTTGAGGGCCAACGCAGGAGGATTGCTTGAGTGCAGAAGTTTAAGACCAGCCTGGGCAACATAGCGAGACTAGTCTCTATAAAAAATTTAAAAATTAGGGACATGCACCTACAGTACCAGCTACTCCAAGAGGCCAAGGTGGAAGGATCACCTGAGCCCAGGAGGTTGAGGCTGCAATGAGCCGTGATCGTGCCACTGCACTTTAGCTTCAGCAACAGAGTGAGACTCCAACACAAAAACAAAAAAAGGAGGTATAAGCTGAAGTCACTCTAGAAGACACTTTGGCAGTTCATTAAAAAGTTAAAACGTAGCCGGGCTTGGTGACTCAGCCTGTAATCCTGCAGCTTTGGGAGGCTGAGGTGAGTGGATTGCCTGAGCCCGTGGGTTCGAGACCCGCCTGGGCAACTTGACGAGACCTCATCTCTACAATAAATAAAAAAATCAGCCGGGCGTGGTAGTGCACACCTGTAATTCCGGCTACTCAGAAGTCTAAGGCGGAAGGATCGCCGGAGCCCAACAGGTCCAGACTGCGGGGGCCGGGAGCAGCCACGGCACTCCAGTCTGGGCGACAGAGTGCAACTCCAACTCAAAAAAAAAAAAAGTTAAATGTAGAGTTACTATGTTACTATGTGACCCAACAATTCCATTCCTAGGTTTATACCCAAGAGAACTGGAAAAATACAGTTACAAAAAAAATTGCCTACAGATATATAGTAACATTATTCATGATATCCAAAAGTGTAGAAACAAGTAAAATGTCAGTTCATGAATGTACAAATAAATGTAGTATATCCATACAATAGAATATTATTTGGCCATAAAATGGATGAAGTACTGTATATGCTGCAACATGGACTAACCTAGAAAACACTATGCTAAGTGAAAGATTCCAGACATAAAAGGCTACATATTATATTATTCTATTTATATGTAATGTCCAGAATAGGCAAATTCATAGATACAGAAAAGTAGCTTCATGGTTGCAAGCATTGGAGGGAAAGGGAAATGGGCAGTGACTACTAATGGATATAAGGTTTCTTTTGAGTGTTATAATATTCCAGAATTAGACAGTAGTGATTGATGTACAAATTTATGAATATATGAAAAGCTACTGAATTGTATACTTTAAAAGTATGAACTTTGTGATATATGAATTATATCTCAATGAAATAGTTGTTTTTAAAAAGCATGTTAAAGTAACAGTGGAACACTACTATGATGTGCAACCTATCAGAGTTGTGAACCTGAAAAGATTTCATGATATTTTTTGATGGAATTGTAAATTGGGAGAGTCATTTTACTGGACAGCATGGTAACTTCTGTCAAACTTTTAAAAACATATACCTTAAGCCTGGTGTGGTGTCTCATGCCTATAGTCTCAGCACTTTGTGAGGTAGAGGCGAGAGGATTGCCTGAGCCCAGGGATTCAAGACCAACATGGGTAGCTTGGTGAGAACTCATCTCTACAATAAATCAAAAATTAGCCGGGTATGGTGATGTGCACCTGTAGCTCCAGCTACTCAGAAGGCTGAGGCAGAAAGATCATCTGAGCCCAGCAGGTTGAGGCTGTGGTGGCCACGAATGTGCTGCTGCATTCCAGCCTGGGTGACAGAGACTCCAACTCAAAAAAAAAAAAAAACCCAAAAAACATACCTTAAACTCATCTATTCTATTTCTAAAAAGATATCTTACAACCCCTCTAATATTAATAGTAATACAGATGAAGGGATAGATAGGTAGATAGACATATGATTAGTAGATATGGATATAGCTACTTATAGCTGCATATTATACATATATTTAGATATATATATACATATGCATAAGTCTATGAAGTTATTAATTTTTGTAATTGGATAAAAGCTAGATAGCCTATATGTCCAAAATTAGGAGTCTGCTTAAATATGTTACAATACATCTGTATAATAGTGGGTTGCTATTTAACCTTTAAACAGTGCTTTATTGTTATAATATTGCTTATATAATTTTCAAAACTAAAAATAGATATACATGAACTTTAAACATGTATAAGATATGTTTTATGGAACAGAATTCTAGTTGTGTAACAGTAGGCAAAATATGATCCTCTTTATGTGAATAAAAGAATATATACATATGCTTATATAGACATAGAAAAATGTATACATGTATATTTATGAAACAGATAAGTTATCCCTAAAGAGTAGGATGGCAGGGATAGGTGTGAAGAGGAAGGAAGTACCTTGAGGAAGAAGTAGTAGATTTTTTGTTTATACTTTTTATTATTTTATTAACTGGTTTTATAATAATAACATTATAATAATTTACTTGAAAATATTACAGCATATTGAGAACACTTGTGTTGTTATAGCTTTTCATGCAGATTGAGGCTCTCTTTCCACAAAAATTTGGAACATGGACTGAATATGCCAAAAGATACTGTAATGCACATATCAGGTATGACGAACTATTTCCCATAAGCTTTTTCCTCTCATATTTGTTGTGAATATTAAACTTTATTAGTCATTATCTTTGTTTCAGTGTTTTCTAAACGTATGGTAGCTATGGAATAATTTCTTCAAATAAAACTTATGTGGATGACCTATATGTAAGATAAATAAAAGGATTAGATAATGGCAAAGTTTTTCTTTATTTTTAATTTCTATCTTCCACTTTTTAATTTTTGAAATTATGTACTTATCTTTATTGACTAAATAGACATGCACATTATACAAAGTGAAAAATGTTTCTTTCACTCTTATCTCTGAGCCAACCATTTCCCTTCCCATATAAACAGTATTGGCACTTTCTTGTGAATTCTATTGAAGATACTCTGTACATGAACAAGCATGTAAGATTATACATGTATAATATAATTTCATCTTATTTCTCTATATAGAATAGCATAATGTACACATTATTCTGCAATTTGCTTTCTTCATTTATTATATATTGGATATCTTCTCATATCAGTTACTGAAACAGCTTTGATACTCATTTTAAATGCTTCATGTATTCCACTGTTTGAAATTTATTTATGCAGTCTACTCTTATTGGGCATTCGTATACAGTATTATAGCTATTGCATTCAATGCTGCAATGAATATCCTTGTACATGTTGAGAGATAGTATATTATACTTTTTAAGAACATGGAAATTTACAGCAAGACCACCTGTTTTATTGTCATATCTACTACTTACCAGATGTTTCATTTTTAAAAAGTACCTTTACCTTCTCAGATCTCTTTTTCTTCAGCCTAGGAACAGAATAATTATGCCTGCCTCAGAGAGTTATTATGAGACTTTCATTAGCTAATATTTATAAAGGACTTAAATTATGACAGTGCATAGTGAGCACTCAATAATTGTTAGCTATTTTAATATTTCATGTCATAAACATGGGGAAAAATCTAAGATAGATTTATAGAAGTGAAATTGCTGGTTTAAAGGGCATGTGCATTTTCACATTATTAGATTTTTCTAAATTATGCTCCAAAGAAGTTATAGCAACCTATATTTCCATCAGTCATTTGTAAGATTGTCTCTTGTCCCACATCTTGCCAACATGATTAAATAGAAATTATTTGATTCTTGTGTGTCTTTAAAACCCATTGAACTGTTAATAGCTTTAATATACATTTGTCCATTGTGTCATTAAATACAGTTGAGCATTTGTCACACATATATGAATCATTTGTACTTTTTTTTTCTGTTATCTCTTTATACTCTTTGCCCTTCTGTCTACTAAATGCATTGACTTTTTTATTCTTGATATGTTGGAAATTGTAATCTATTATAGAAATTATCTCTTTGTATGTGATATAGGTTTCTTATGCTTTTTCCCAATGTGTATGTTTTGGTTTTGTTTTTTTCTTTTTTCCTTCAAATAACCCCATGTGGTCATGGACTTCTGATGCTTTTTAAAGGGCACCAGAGTACAGAAATAGAATCCTTCCAAATTGTTTTTATGAAACCAGTTTAACATCAATAACAAGCTGGGCTCGGTGGCTCAGCCCGTAATCCCAGCACTTTGGGAGACTGAGGTGAGTGGATTGCCTGAACCCGCGGGTTCGAGACCCACCTGGGCAACTTGGCGAGACCTCATCTCTACAATAAATCAAAAAATTAGCCGGGTGTGGTAGCATGCGCCTGTAGTTCCAGCTACTTGGAAGGCTGAGGCGGAAAGATCACCAGAGCTCAGCAGGTCGAGGCTGCAGTGGCCGGGAGTGTGCCACTGCACTCCAGTCTGGGTGACAGAGTGAGACTCCAACTCAAAAAAAAAAACAACAAAATTCAATAACAAAATCAGACAAGACAGCACACAGAAAGTAAACAGTCTGTGTCTCCCTATGACTATAAATGCAAATATCCTCAGGTATTAGTAGAATTCAAAAACTCATTAAATGACCTATATCTTGAGTATATGCAAATGGTATTTATATCAGGAATGCAAGCATAGTATAATATTAAGAAATACACTAATATAATTAGCCATGTTAATAATAACAAGAGAAAACTTTATTTCAGTATCTTCATATGTACTGGAAAGTCGAGATAAAATTCAACATCTTTTCTTTTTCTTTTTTAAGTCAGGGTCATACTGTCATCTAGGCTAGAATGCAGTGAAACTATCTCGACTCACCACAGCCTTGACTTTTTGGACCCAGACATCCGTTCTCCTCAGTCTCCCCAGTAGCTGGGATGCAGGTGTGTGCCACCACACCTCACTCATTTTTTAATTTTTAGTAGAGGTGAGATCTTGCTATGTTGCCCAGACTGGTTTCTAATTCCTGGGCTCAAGCAATCCTCTCACCTCAACCTCCCAAAATGCTGGGATTACAGGCATGAGCCACCGTGCCCGGCAGCATCTATTCTTAATTACATAGTAATTTAGTGTGTCTATACATATGTGTATATATATGTGTGTGTGTGTGTGTGTGTGTGTGTGTGTGTGTGTACACACATAGGTGTGTGTTGGTGTGTTTGTGTGTCTTTAAAGACCAAAACATCCACCACATGAAACACTAAAATCAAGTCAAAGATGTTCACTATTTCCACAGTTTACCTTTATTCCAGAAAGACTAATCAGTTTAATTACTTAAACAAAAAATAAGAGATAAAAATTAGAAAGAAACACTTAAAATTATCACTATTTGCTACTGATGTTATTTATTTGGAAGATCCAGAGAATCAGCTGAAAAATGTTCCAGACAAACATGAATTTATGAGAGTGTCCTAGCATAAAGTTACTATTAAAAATTCAGTTGTCTTTCTCTATAAAAATATTAGTTATAAAATATAATGAATGAAAAGATACCATTTACAGTAGCAAAATAGAATAACAAAAAAGATACCATTGAAGAATAAACTTAAAAAGATCTATAAGAAGAAAATTAAAGAATATTACTAATGGACATTAAAAAAAAGAAATAAAAAGACTTACGCTTTTATTTGATAAAAAAAACTTAGTATTAGAAAGATTTTTACTTTTTCCTGAATTTATCTGTCTATGTAATATATTCAGTAAAAGAGGATTTTTCTCTTAGATCCAAAAAACTGATTCTAAATATTATTTGGAAAAAAAACAAGACTTGTCAAGAAAATTATTTTAAAAACTAGCATATTAAAGGGAGATAAAGGGATTATTTTCTACCTTCTTGCACCAAAATACATTCCAGATGGATCAAATAATTAAACATTATTAAATAAAATATAGAGGAATCATTTGATAATTTTGCTGTGGGAAACTCATTAAAAATGAGTATATTTGCATAAGAATTTAAAACGTATTTCTCTTTTAGAAAAGATCACATCTAAGTAAAAGGAAAAATTTCTAAATAAGGAAAAATTATTTGTGTGTTGCAAATTAAAGAAAAGGCTGAATTTTAACAACTCAGAAAAATGTGCAAAAAATATAAACATTGAAAAAAGAAACTATAAATAGGTTTTAACTTCATAAATCTAACTCATAAGAGAAATTCAAATTGAACCTATAATACAGCATTCTTCACTTATTATAGTTGTAAAAATTATACAATTTGTTAAAATAGTGTCAGTGAGCATATGAAGGAACAGTAACTCTCTTACATTGTTGAAGAGAAACTAATAGCTGTACCAGCTCTTGAAAGCGATTTCACTATATCTACCAAAATTTTAAAAGCCCATACATTTAACATAACAATTAAAATCCAAAAAGTTTATCCTGCATATGTTTATCCTGCATTGATCGTTCATGTGTGTGTATTCTAATGTAAACAAAGCATCAAGGCATATGGACACACATGCAGATATATGCGTAATTCAAAGTACATGATTAATAAATGATTGACAACAGCTAGTCGTTAGGGAAGTGGTTCTATAAATTATGGTACAGTCACGTACTGGAGTGCTGTGCAGTCTTTGAAAAGAAGGCTGTAACCCTATATGTGTTGATTACAGAATTTCCAAGCGATGTTATTGAAAGAAAAGGACATTACAGAAAATTCTGTTCTCTTGTATTTTTTTAAAAGGTGTTTAAAGACACACATAGATTTTCTCTGGATATCCTAGTGCTGTCAACATGGTGGTCTCTGGTGGCTACGGACCGAGACTTCTCTGTAGAAATCACAGGGCACTGTGGAGTTCACTTTGCACATTAGTTCAACTATTCAGCTTAGTGGGAGCATGCAGCTGACTGAAGATTTAGAGCAAGAGACAGCTTTTCATGGCATGTGATCAATATGATAGGGAACTTGGGCCGCATTGTGTTCTCTGTTGGAGTGAATTTTTAGCTAGAAGCTCCAAGAGGGCAGAACACTTGTCTTTTTCAGTGTTCTATTCCCAGTGTCTAGTATAGCACCTGACACATGATATTCAGTGTTTATTGAAACATTGAAGTCTATATAGGTTTTTGTTTGTTTGTCCTATAGCTTCTTCATATGAATAATGCTATCATCTGCTAAATTCACAGAAGTTGTCAAACTGGTGGGGTTATTCACACATAACTTCAAACCACTCTTGAAAATTACCATAGTATTTAAAAATAAGCAGAGCAGTCATCTTGGAGAAGGATTTCTTATAATTTAGATATGGAGTTCCCAGAATATGAAGGGCTCAAGTAAGTGATTTGGATAATCTTTCCCAGATCAAACTTTGGTTTTCTTTTTTTCTTTTCTTTTTTGAGTCAGAATCTCATTTTGTTGCCCAGACCAGAGTACAGTGGCACACTCATGGCTACCTCAGCCTCCACCTACTGAGCTCAGGCGATCCTTCTGCCTCAACCTTCTAAGTAGCTGGGACTACAGGCACATACCACCACACCCAGCTAATTTTTTTAAAAATTTATTGTCAAGATGAGTTCTTGCCAAGTTTCCCAAGCTGGTCTCAAACCCCTGGCTCCACCTTCCACAGTACTGGGGATTACAGGCATGAGCCACTACATTTGGCTTAGTTTTCTTCATATTGACTTTAAGTCATGA